TCTTCTCTCCTCCTCCTCCTCTCTCTCTCTCTCTCTCTCTCTCTCTCTGGAAGGTGGAGGAGTGTGTAGCCGCACCTTGTTTTCTCTATTGCTCTTTTTTCTTCGTTTGGCTTTCATTTTATCTGATGGTTTTGCTTTATTGTGTTTTTGGGTGGAGGCGAGTTTTGCGGTTTACGGCTCGTGGTTGATAAACGTCGTGGGACACTGCGGGCCGAGAAACGTTTTTCAGTGGAAACAAAATCTACAAAACAGCAAAGAAACTCAGACGTACGCAAGTAGGAAGGAAAATAAACATATTGTTACATGAACATGAACGGGTTGCGGGCGCTTGCGCGTTGTGGTGCTCAGCGTGGCTTTAGGGGCTGCGTGAGCCGAGGGCCTCCACCGTGTGCACGTAGGTCTCTTGGTGCCTCCCTGTCGGTTTGCATCACTTGTGTGCCTCACACGACACTCACTGCCCAGTCACGCACGCAGTTTGCACAGGTCCCCGGGAAGCGGGATCAGGAGGCCTTTCTTTCGCAGTACAACCCACTTGAGGTGCTTGCTCTTGAGGAGTCGTGCACAGTGGAGGAAATTGACGAAGCCTTCGAGCGAATGAGTGCCAAGTATGGCCCTAATGGACCTTGTCCTGACGCGAAGCTGTTGGACCGTGTGTTCAGGGCGCATGCAATTCTTAAGGACCCCGGCTCACCGTACTACCTTCGTGCTCACTCCTCCGATAGTGAACGACAGCGTCTTCAGTTTCAGCTTCTTCCAAAGTCAAAGCGTAGGCTAATTGAGGTTCAAGTAGGAATTTTATTGCTGCTTTTAGTTGGGCTTGCAATGCTGGTGCTTTCTCTGGTGCTGCGCCCGATGAAGCGTTCAATCCGTGCCGCAACGCGTTGAATGCCGTAGTGATAGCCCAGGATGGGGACGAGGCGTCTAGTTTGAATCGCCCCGGGCTGGTGGGAGAAGTAGATTTGATAGCGTGGTCCACTGTGTGGATTTGGTGTACGCGAATCTCCCCTTCGTGGGGTGTACGGTGTCGCTAGGTGATGGTTGTATCTGCGAAGTTATTTCAATTTTGTTGTTGTTGTGTTTTTGTTTGATTTTTGTTTTTCTCTCCACTTCCTCTTTTGTAGTCTGCACAGCTGGCGGGGATGCCTCTTAGTGCCGGAAAAAAACCAGGGAGCAGCGTGTTTGTGGCATTGCACGGTGTGAGCGACGGAGCAACGCCGGACTTATTGAGGCACTACTCTCAAACTCAGTCAAATATTTCTCTCGTGAACGCCGGCGACGATGTGTTATTGACGCCGACGTTAAAGAACTGCAGTACCTTACCCATATTTGGGGCCAGTGCCACACCGATCTCCGCGCCACAACCAACGCCATCCGGAGCAGGAGGTGAAAAGAAGGCTAACAGGCTCTTAACGGTGCGATCACGTCACGCCAAGGTTTCCAAAAAGAACGCTTTAATTGCCGCAACAAACTCGGCTGTAGAGGGACGTCGTGCGGCGATATGGGTTGAGCAATGGGATCGTGGATCCCGAACTACCCGTCTTCTCATTCTTGAGGCCTTTCTTTTGCTACATTCTTCGAGCAATACCATCAGGATGGAGAAAGATCTGGGTGATTCCTCTATGCTTTTCTTTACACGTATTACGGCTTGGCTACGGTTGACATGTCGATTGAACCATCCACTGCGTCTACTTCTTGCTGCTACATCGTTGTTTGTGCGTGGTGTGCGTTACCTAACGTGCCTCGTGGAGGTTGGCGGGGCCGAAATGCTCATCGACACACTTGCAACGTGCTCTCTGGTGGCGGAGGACCGCCGTGAAATAGTTTTGCTGCTATTATACATGGCAAATGCCGGAAGGGTCTATCGGGAAATGTTATGCGATGACGATGAAATAGACTTGCTGTTGCAGGCGATGCGACGCGAAAGTGAGGATGACATTTTGGATCTTTTTGTCTCTCTGATGCTTCTGTTGGGTGAAGGCAATAACCCACGAGTGACCTCGCGTGTACAGTCTGGGATGGTTCGGATGATTACCCAGAACAATACCACAACAGCGGTGATACTTCAGGCTGCACGCATCTTGCGCATCTTTCAGTCGTCGCGAGACAAAATGTACGCGGATACCATTGCGCGGGATGCGCTTGAGGACACTGGCACAGTGCCGGTGGTGGGTGTCGAGTTGAATGCCTCACCCGATAGTGCACGGCAATTGCTAGAAGCTCTCTTTTTTTTGTTGTTTCACGATGAACTGAGCCTCCGTGTGGAAGGCTCGGAGTTACTGACGATGGTGGCAAAGAACATTCAACTTACCGGTCCCATTTTAACCCGCTGCTTTGATGTGGTGGATGAGGACCGTCTGGCGATTGAGGCCGAGGAAAATCTGAGCGTGGCCATGACGTTTAGGCGGCATCAAATGTCGTTTGGTAGCACTGCGGTCAACATTATACTTCTTGATACCGCATGTGAGGCGCGGCAGCGGCTGATGTTGGACATCATCCTCCGGCGGAGTGCCCACTTCACTCTCCTCAAGTATCTTCAACTTCTGGAAAGTGAATATGCTGCCTCCATCCTGGACTGTTGTCGGGCCTTGCAGCTTATTTGTCGCGCGGGTCTTTTGCAGGAGCGAAAAGGCGTGGTGGATAGCGCGGAGGCGGAGGTGACGTTGGCGAAAGCCGCCAATCACATCCGCGTGGTAGTGGGCGACACGCTGTACGGTGTGCTGTTGTATGAGGACCTGACGGAGGACGAGGCCCTCTCTATCGCCCGCGCTGTCACCTCCTCGGAACAGGCAATGTAAAGTACAGGGACGAAAACAACATGAGATAAAAAAGAAAAAAAAAGAACAACTGAACCTGCCGAAGGAGGAGGAAAAAAGGTGCGTCCACATGACTTTGTTGTTGATTTTTTTTTTCTTTTGCAGGTTTTTCTTCTTATGGCTCTCCGGGGTGCGCCGAACAGCGCGCACGGGAGCCGCAGAGGTGACGTGTCTGACAAATGTCTTGCACTTTTTTTTTTTTGTCCGCTGAGTTTGTGCCCCGTTTTAGCAGATTGTGAGAGATGGAGCGAGTCCCACGTTGAGGCCGGCAAAAGTCAGAATAAAATAAAATTGGAAGCACCAATATGTATATGACGTTGCTGTTGCTATCACTCGCGCTTCCCCCTCCTTTTTTTTTTTGCATCAAGAAACGAAGAGGAAATAAAAAAAAAAGAAAGGAGGAAAACTAAAGCGAGGAGGAAAGCGTCGCCGAAATGTCTGCGGAGCGTGCTATAGGTAGTACGATTACCCTCATTACCAACAGCCTGATCCGCTACGAGGGTACTTTGGGGCAAATCGATGGACCCAATAATACCGTCAGCCTAACAAATGTGCGTGTGTTCGGCACGGAGGGGCGCGGCGAGGAGGCGGGGTTGGCACAAATTCCTCCTGCTGACCAACTTTTTGACCAGATTGTCTTTCGCGGATCTGACATCAAGGAGCTGACTGTATTTGAGGAGCCTCATAATGCCATGATGGACCCAGCTATTGTGACGGCACTGCCTGCTCGCAACCCTCCGTCTAAGATGACGTCTACGCAGCAGCGCAGTGGTCCTTCAGCTGGTCATGCCCACCCACAGCAGCAGCAGCAGCAGCAGCAGCATCATCATCATCAACCACATCACCAGCAGCAACGTTACGGCGGCGGTGGTTACCGTCGTGGTGGTGGTGGTAGCGGTTATCGCGGTGCGCGTCGTGCGGATGGGCACACGGGACAGGATTTCCGACCTGCTACAGGGGCTGCGAAGGAGGAGTTCAAGGACGACTTTGACTTTACAAAGAGCCGAGAGGAGTTTGAGAAGAAGAAGAACGAGTTTGAAAAGGCCAAGGAGGACGCCAAGACTCATAGCAAGGTCTATGACAGGAGCAGCTTTTTTGACAAGATATCTTGCGACCAGCAAGATCGTATTGTTCGGCTGGACCGTGAGGGAATGAAAAGAGCCGACGCAGAGACGTTCGGCAGCGAGATGGTTGGCAATATGCGTGGCCCACGCCGTGGGCGCGGTGGACGTGGCCGCTACAATGGCCGCTATAATTGATACTCTCTTCCACGCACATGAACGGCAAGGGCATAGTTTCAGTTCAGTGCAGACATGGACGCTCGCATATATATATAATATATATATATATAGGCACCCGTCTGCCTGCCTGCTTGCACACACACACTTTTTATGTATGCAGAGGGAGAGATGTGGGTGAGTGGGTTAGCGGGGTGGGAAGAGGTGTGCTTTCTGAAGGGAAATAAGGAGGGAGGAGGAGCTTTGTGTGCATCTCTGTATGCGTGTGTGTTTGGAAGGTGAGAGGCGGGAGTGTAGAGCTGCAATGAAAAAAAAGAAAAAGGTGGAAAAATATGGAAATCAACAACACGATGAAAGAAGCAGCTCGTTGAGGAGAGGCCGGAGAAAACGAAACTGAAACAGAAAGGAAACAAAATAAATAAATACAGAGACACTTCCTCTCCTTCAAGAAGGAGAGCAGAAAAACAATAAGAAGAAAAAAGTGATGAAAGGTAAAAGAAGAAGAAAAAAAAAATATGAAATTCTTGGAAAAAGAAAAAAAGAGTCAAACAGCAGCCAGAAAAAAGGAAAAAAAAGGAGGAAATGGAAGTGTTGGTCGTCGTGAGGGCAAGGAAAGGGAGAGGCAGGTAAAAAGAATGTGCGTATGGTGGGGGCAGTGAGGAGGCATTTTGTGGTGATGTGCTAGACAGAGGTGACTATATAACTTGCACGGATATGGAGATGCATGTGTGTTTGGGAGCTTGGTGTCGTATTGTTATTCGTCCTTGCCGTCCTCTCTGTTTTTCTTCTGCTATTTCTTTTTTTTTTTCGTTTTCCATCTCTCTTTCTACCTCTTTGCCCTTTTTTTTTGTTTTTCTCCCCGTTTCCGTACTTCCACACTTGCGTGTTTTTCTTCTTTCAGTGGGTGGGACTGTAGAGCGTCGGCCAGCTTTGCACCGCAGCCGTAAAAGACAACAACAACGTTCTCTCGAATTGCATGTGAGCGTATCTGCTCATTCAATCCTTTGTTGTCTGATAACGTAGCCTCTCCCCTTTTCCTCACTTTTTTTTTTTTTTAGCGTGTGTGTGCATGTATGTTTCGTTCTTATTTTGCTTCTCCCTGTGACACGGGATCGGATGACTTCGAACTGCTCTCTGCGCCGGGGTTGTCATTGACTCAATTTTTACTTCTATTTTGCGGCATGTTCGCTGTGGCTGTGGGTGTGTCTGCACAGTACGTTATCGGCGGTGGTGATTCAACGCCACTCTCGCTTGTTCTCTTCACCCCTCTCCTTTTTCTGATTTTCAATGTTTGCTCTTGAATTAGCTGCCTGTTTTTTTTTTTTTTTGTCTTTCTGTTCTTTATTGCTTTTTTGTTTTTTGTTTTGTTTTTTTCATTTTTGCCATGGGACCACGTGGGGGGTTCATTTTCAGCGATTTGCTGTGTGTGTGTGATGGATGCGAGCTTGTTTTCTTCACTCATGCTCATATACGTCTGGGATCGTTGCGTACGAATGGGTGAGGATGACTGAGGCCCCAAAGACTGGGGGGCCATCTTGGGACTATCACAATGATCAATGACGCGAGGGACGATAGCGGTGGTGTCTGCAGGCGGGAGCAACAACGCAGTCAGGGGATGGTGTGGAACACTAGTCAAACGTGCAGACACCACTTACACCATAAATGTTTTTTTTTAAAGAAATGTTTTTATCATTTTTTTTCTTTTTTGGATGTGTGTCTTGTTGGCGAATGGTCTTCAGGGTGCTTCTTTGACGAGTTCAGTGAGGCGGCGATGATGCCGCTGCCCGCACGCGCGTTGGAGAGGGGGAAGACAGGTGTAGTGACGCAACACACGTGCACTTTGAGTAGAAATGAAAAAAAAAAAAACGACCACGAAGAGGGGTGACAGTCAGCGACGTCAGACGGACAGGTGAGCGGCTACACACGTACGCACACACCAGAGACAGAGAGGGGGGGATAAAGCAGAAAAAGAAGCGAAATTGGTGTCTTGTGTTAGACTCCGTGGCTGCCGGGAAGAGAGTCGAGCAGCGAAGGGAATAGGGCGGTACGAGGGGAGGAAACGGTTATTATTATTATTATTATTTTCTCTGGACACGTGAAAGTGGGAGGGAGGGCAAGGCGGGTGGGCCTCGTGGAGGCAACAGAAAACTACGGCTGCTGCATGTCCCGCATTAATGCTAAACACCGAGGCGGAAGAAGCAATGGAGAGAAGAAATTAATATTTGTGCATGTCTGAGGGCGAGGGGGTTGCGGGGCGCTGTGCCCTGTGCCTTCTCTTTTTTTCTCTTTTTTTTTTTACCTTGCTGGAAACAAACCAAACAAAAAGAAGAGAGAAGAGGCGGAGAAACGAGGAAGTAATAGAGAGAATTGAGGTCTGTGATACTGACGATCAAGGCAAAACAAAAAAAAACAAAAAAAAAGAAGCCCCTAAAAAAACAGAACAGACATACACGCATCCACAAGCTAACAGAAAGAGTGGATTGAATACACGGCAAGGAGAACGGAGAGGAATGCGCAGGGTAGAGAAACGAAGAAAGGAACGGGGGAAGCCTGGAGAGGAGGAATAACGAAACAAAAGGAAATTAGACGAATCCTAGCGCCAACAGCAAACAGGCGAGGGACTCATTTTGCCAAACTGGCGGTGGTAGCTATGCATCCCACCCCTTTCCACTTCTCGCGGGCCAAGATTGATTGCTATCTTATGCACTGGTTAGGCATGACTTGTCCGTGACGGCGGTTTGGTGTCCAATTTACTTGGCTAATACTCTGTGCGTCTCCCCACCTTTCCCTTTTTTGCCTTCTTTTTTTTTTCCATTAGTGGTGGTGTGGGGGACCATGGGTTAGCGCAGCAGCCCATGGCGATGCGTGGAGCTGGCGGCGACGACGATTGTCCGCGTCTGTGGTCCTCACCTGGCCCACGTCAGCGCCAACTTGGGAGATCGCGGAAAGAGAAGAGGCAAAACCAAAAAAAAAAGCATAAAAAAAAACCTGGATGCCTTGAAAGCAGACTTTTATTTACAAACTGTTTTTCAAAAGGGGGCTTGTCGCAAAGCTGCAGAGATACGACGTGAAAGGGAGAAAAAAAAACAGAAACAATAAAAACTAAGGCTGCCACGTGGCAAAGTTGTCGAAGGAAAACGGTGATTTAAAAGAAGGAGAATCCTATCGACAAGGTGAGTAATGCTTGAGAATAGCTTCCAATGAAGGCACCATGAATGCATCTTGCATGAATCAAAAGAAAAAAAAATGATCCGGGTGCAAAGGAGAGGGCACCTGTGGAGTGGTGCGTCTCACTCTTGCTGTATGAGGTGGGCCGACACAAGCACTTGCGACAGGCGTTACAGAAAAGACTGGAACATATCCAGCTCTTGCCCAACTCCGGCGTGGAGCACGTGTCAGGTTTCTCGGCCTCCTCACCCAGGATCAGCTTCTTCGTGACTCCAGCGGAGGGTGCATATTCTACTTCTTTTACCTTAATGCGGGAGTAAATGGATAATTATGACACGGAAAATAATTTACCGCAAATCACAGCCGAGTTCATCTCGCACATTGTGGCAGAATAATACTTGGCGGGGGCTGCTCAGCAGAAGGTGACAGCACATATTCGTGGCCTACTTACCTACTTGTGCGGATGACGAGCTCCGGCTCATTCGAGTAATGCAAAAGAACTAACTACGAAGGATGGAGGGGTCGCACGTCCTGTTGAAGATGCCTTTTAAACGCATTGTAACTTTTGCCTAGTTAATGACAGATGGGGGGTGGGCGGAGGGACCAGGACAGTGGATTCTGGCCGCTCCGAACGGTTGCGATGAGGCGACGTCGCGATCACCTCTCGACGCTGATTTGTATGCTTCGCTTGATTGAAAAACGTTATATACAAACACGGAACGTAACCTCCGTGTGGAGGCTGGCCGTTTTGCGGAAGTGGAGCCGTTGTTGCATCAGCTACGACTTCAGTGCGAAGGGCGGAAAACGTTAGCAGACGCGGTTGCTCAAGAACCTGCGAAAAAGAAAAAAAAACTTAGAGACATTCTGCGGGGCAACCAAGTTTGGAGAGGCTGTTTTGGAGATGCATCTCTACCTTTCTTCTGACAGTGCCACAACTCTGTGGTTGGCCGTGCATGGTCGTCTTGTTCAGTTACTGGACTCGCCTCAGGACATCCGGGTTGCATGGAGCAAATATTTGGTGTACGGTGCCCCATGCCCTTGGTTGCTGAAAGAGCTCAATCACCCACGCTGCAACTCGCTGCTTTAACAGAGCCACATGAAAGTTGACAGCTGGGCCTCTTATAGAAGCCTACCTGATTACCGCACTAGATGAGGTGGACGATTGGAGCATCAAAACATTCGAAGGTGACAAGGGTGACGTTGCTGCGTTGGCAGGGAGTGTGGCTTTTTCAGGTGTGCGGCGTTGTACGGTACAACTGCTCTTGAAGGTTTTCTCGTTTTTACGTGCTGCGATGCTGCTACAGTGGTGCATTGAAGCACTGTTCGCATCAGAGGGAAATGATTGAGATGCTAATGCGGACTACCTAATTTTTCAGCAGGCGATAGCGGGGGTTTTGTGGGAAGGTTCCACTTCCACTGTTTGTAAGGCTGTGATCACCGGTGACGAGGTATTTGCGAATATTTGTATTTACGATGTTACAACACTCAAAGAAGTCTATGAGGGTTGCAGCGGCATTGGACGTTACATGGTGAGGAAAGCGTTACAATTGATTCTAACGTGTCAGAAATATTTATTACTGGAAAGTGTGACACTAATGGAGTTGCTTCTTTCATACCGTCTTTTGTTTCATTTTGTGGAAATTTGTGGACCTGTGCTGCTACCAGATGACGGGCCTGGATGAGAATGCAATTATAGAAATGAAAACTCGTTTGGCGTTGTTGGTGAAGCAAAAATATGCAACGGCCCAGGCAGACATTTTTGCCTGGCGGTTGCGGAACGATGCAGGGATGCCTGTAGCGACGCAATAAGTTGAATGCCCACCGTGTCATCCCCTACTGCCATGTGGGGAGGAGGAGGTGAGTGAGGAGGGCGGGGGAGCGTGGTGCAGGCGTATCCGATGCTTTTGTGTGGTCGATTTTGTCGTTGTGACATAGATCAATACCCGGCACGCTACATCATGTGCGGCGAGGCTGCGGATACGGTGATAGTAAACTTGTTGTTGGCTGGACGGGCCTTGTTGAACTCTGAACTCCGAGGCAACGCTCACGGAAGGGACGTTGCGTTCCAGGGCAGTTTTCTCGAAGGATGCCCGTGCGGGTTACATTTTTTATAGGTTCATGAAGGTAAAAATAATGGTGGGGAACGCAACATGCGCCCCGGTGTTGCATCGCGTAGCTCTGGCACTTGTTCGCATGAACCTAAGGCTTGCCTCCTTGTATGTGTGGTATATTTTCTCATATTTTGTTTTGAGGTATGGACAATGGTTGTGTTGTTCTCCACCTACGGAGGTGTAACTGAAGCAATGCGCGAGGCTCTTTTACAGGAACACTATCTTCCCCGGTCGTTGGACTGGGATACACTTAAGAGAAGTTCTTGCTTGGCGTGGAGGCGCGTCTTGAACAGCTACGAGCATCTTTTCGCCACCGTAGAGCGAGCTACAGGCCTCTGCAGTGTGGCCTCTTTCGGTGTTCCCTTTACAGCTTTACTTCCCTCCTTAAACCCCTTGTTGCCAGTGGATCAACTGGGTCAGCTGGCAACCGTGAATGAGTTTATGGTGTGTTTGTGTACGCCCATCAGTCAAAAAGGCTTGGGTGTGCTGAGTAGCCATATTTTGCCGTCTAACGCTCTCGCCAGCTCAATACGGCAGTTTTACTGGGATGGTGCGGAGGGGAACTTTCCAGCGGCAGTTTTGCAAGTGAAGGGGAATTGTGCACTGTTGCTCTTGCTCGTTAGATAGTTTTATTGGTATTATGTTTCGGCTTTTTTTTAAATTTTTATTTTTTCACGTGTCTACATAACATTCACGCTAAAGGAAGTCTATCTTCCTTGCTAATGGTGGCAGGCACCTCTGCGGGTCGGGGACTGATACGCCTCTATGTGCGCATGGAAGGCCTTATTCCTTTTGCCCTGCTTTTGGACGATGAATTGACTCCTGAAGCACTAGAGCACGCCGCGCGGCACTACGTGCGTGATCGCTACGGGCCAAAGGCGGACGCGGACCATCGGTTGGTGCGTCGCATTAACTTTGCGGGGTCCGATGTTCTGATGGACTTTGCTCACACAGTGAAACCGCACTCACCGGTCAGGCCTCGTGTTGATAAGAAGCTAACAGAACCTTCATCTGATGGTGTAGGGAATGGTATCGCCTTTGTGAAGGTGCTGCCTGCGTACCATGACTCCAACTCCCCTGAGGCGATTCGCGCTTCCTGCATAATACTACGTGCCCCAATTTTAAATGACGGTGCTGCCGCAGGCATGGGGGGAGGAGGTGCTGCCGCACTTATCCCCTCGTCGACGTATATGGCCTTTATAGGGTTCCACCGTCTGGTGCTGATGATGACAGACCCGCGCAATCCGCAGCGGGATTTGTACACCCGTGTCGCCCTCTTGACGTATCGCCAGTTTGTGACCCCGGATGAGCTCTTGGGGCGGTTGATTGAACGGCACGATGTTCCGGCCATAACCAGGCCTGGTGCCGGCGTTCGAAGCGCCTTGGAGCAGCACTGTTACCAGGAACTGCGCCGCGAGATCCAGTCGGCTGTGTTTAGTGTCCTGGAGTTATGGGTCAAGAGTTATTACGAGGACTTTTCTAGTGATGCACTACATTCTCGTCTTCTTACCTTTGCCAGGGCAAAGGCTGATCAGGCAGCTGCTCCCGCAGCGTTGTTGCGCCTGATGGCGGATGGCGACAGGACGGCTCTGTGCTATCGTGCCCCAGCCATGCTTTTAGGGGTGCCCCAACAGGGTGAAACACCCACCTCCGTACTGCTTCACTACTCGCCACGAGAAATTGCCACCCAACTCACCATTTTGACGTCCTACTTGCATCGTCAACTCACAGGGCCGGAGTTGCTTGGACAACGGTGGGAAACGGGGGAGGCAAGTTTGATACCAAATTTCATTCAGTATCGAGATTTTATTTCTCGCTTCACGAACTGGGTTTCATGCGCCGTGGTCGCCGAAAGGGACCTCACACGTCGGAGGGAAAATGTAGCCTCACTGCTGCTTCTGTGCGATGAGCTCATCAAACTACGAAACTGGGATATTCTAGTTGCCGCGTATAAGGGAATGCAAGCTCCGGCGGTGGAGCGCATGCGTCACACGTGGGCGTCTCTTCCTAAGAACGCTGTAGAACTCTCCAGTCGGCTGAAAAAACTGCTGGATTATGATGCAGGGCATAAAACCTTGAGGGAAACCATGCGAAAAAGGAGTCAGTTACTGTTTCCATGCATTCCCATATTTTTTCAGGAGTTGAGGGAGTTGGAGGAGACCAAACGCATCCAAGAGGGTCTCGTAAACTTTGGATGCTGTTTGCAGCAATATCTTCTTTTGCAGACTCTGCTTCAAGGCAAGGAAGTAGCGGTGGATCATTTGGTGCCCAACAAAAGTTTGATGGCAGCCTTTTTCTTCTGGCGCCCCGTGGAGACATCACTTCTAATGCAGCTCTCGAACGAGTCGGAGAAACCATAGGCATTTTTCTTTCCTTCTTTTGTGGCTGCGAAGGTGCTTTGCTGTCACAGCTTTGTTTTATCGTGTGTTTGCGATGTGCTCGCAAACCGTTTCTCTCTTTTTCCTTCTTTTTTTTTTTTTGTTTTGTTCTCTCTTTTTTTACGTTTGCGTGAGTGTGTGAGTTTGTGTCTCTTTTGGATTAATGTGGTTGTGGATGCTGATGGGGACGTCGTCCACGGCTTTTCTTCACGTTTTTTTTTTTTTGCTAGACCATATTTTTTTTTTTTTTTCGTTGCTGCGGAATTGTCTGACTGAAGACATGTGGCCACCACGATATATTTGGCGTCCGTATCACCCAGAGGCATTGCTTGATTTAAAGCGGTTTGCCTCCTCAGTTCGTCTGCAAACGGACTTTGGTGCGGCTACACCTGTGCAGCGGCCAACCAACTCCCTTTCACCTCTTTATGCTACGGAACCTGCATCGAGAAAAGGGTCATTTTCGCGGTATCTGCGATCTGCTTGGGATGAAGCACCATACATTGCAATGGCTGTAGCTGGTGTAGGCCTTTACGGCATGGCGACTCTGGCGATTCCTGCAAAATTTGGACAACTGATTGACCTTGCCAGTAGAGGAGAATTGCCTCTAGGAACGTCTATGCAGCTGTTGGGGTGGTTTGTGCTTTCAGGCGTAGGCAATTTTACGCGTTTGGCTTGTATTGGGTATGCTGGGGAACGCGTCATTGCACGTCTGCGAAGTCGTCTCTATCGTGGACTTCTCAGCCAGCCAACCGCGTTCTTTGACTCTCCTGGAAACACCACAGGATCTCTGGTGCAGCGCCTCTCTATGGACTGCAATGTCGTGGGTAGCTCCCTAACACAGGCAGTAACGCAGGGAAGCAAGAATTTTTTTCAGACAGTGGGAAGTATTGGTATTATGCTGTACTATTCCCCAATCCTTACAGGGGTGATATGTGGCATGATCCCTCCTTTGGCGGTGTTTGCTGGATTTTACGGAGGCTATGTTCGACGACTACAACAACAGATGCAAGACGCACTTGCTGTGAAGGGGACGGTTGCCGCAGAACGATTGGGTAACATTCGTACCGTGAAGGCGTTTGCTCGGGAATCTGAAGAATTGAAATGGTACGAAAAAAAGGTAGAGGCTGTGCTTCAGGTCAGTAAACGCATGTTGTTTTATAATGCCTCGTATACGGCTTTACTGCAGTTTGTAGGGTATGGGGCGTTGTACTGCATCTTGTGGGCAGGATCCATACTTGTGGCGTCAAACAATTTGTCGACAGGTGTTCTTTTCTCCTTCATCCTTTACACGGTGTACTGCGGGATTGGGCTCATGGGGTTGACGAACTTGGCGACGGAGATCAACAAAGGCTATGGTGCCAGTTTGCGCATCTTTGATATCTTGGACAAGGAGGAACAGCTTCAAAAGACGCAGGAAGCGACGAAGGCGACGATTCCTTTGCAGTGTAAGTGGAACATCAAACTTACGGATGTTTCGTTTGCCTACCCGACACGTCCTGAAGCACCGGTGTATGAAAAGTTAAATTTAGAGATTCGGCCTTCGTGTTGCACTTGCGTGGTAAGTAGCAGTGGCTCTGGTAAAAGTACTTTGGCGCTGCTGCTCCTGAAGTTGTACAGCCCGACGCAGGGCAATATTACCATTGACGAACAAGAACTCAATAGCGTGGATACGCGTTGGCTGCGTGGCAAAATTGGCTATGTGGGCCAGGAGCCTGTGCTGTTTGGTGGGTCCATTGCACAGAATATCGCATACGGTGCAGCCGACCACAACTGGGACGACCCGATTGATAGATGGTTGTACTCCTCCATTGTCGACACGGCTATGCGGGTCAACGCACACGATTTTATTTCAGGTCTTCCGCAGGGCTACGACACTTTTGTCGGCGAGAGCGGCCGGTCGCTATCTGGTGGTCAAAAGCAGCGTATTGCCATTGCACGTGCTTTGCTGCGGGCACCCAATATATTGATCCTTGACGAGGCAACCTCCGCTCTCGATAGTGAGTCGGAGGTGGTGGTCCAGGAGGCCATTAACCGCCTCATTGAGGATGCCAAGCGGGGCAAGGAGAAACGCACAGTTCTTATGTTTGCGCACAAGCTGAGCATGATTCGCAAAGCTGATCACATTGTGGTGCTTGACAAGGGTAAGGTTGCGGTGCAGGGAAGTTTTGATGAGGTTCGAACTGATTCCTTGTTTTGCCAGCTTGTTGGGCTTCCGTCAAGCACCGTAGTTGCGGCCGACACTATCACTGATACAGGGGACAGAAAATAAATACGCATGATAAATAAACTCCTTATATAGATAGAACTGCAGGAATTAAAGTGTTACGCTCTACTGCTTATTAGAGGCGTACAAGAACGAGATGTGAAAAAAAAAAAAACAACAAAAAAAACAAAAAAAATGGAATATTGACATGGCCTGTATTTGCGGAATGAAACACAAAAACGAAAAGAAGAAAGAAGCTATGACTCTCGCGGTGCAAGTGGGTTGGGACGTATGGGTGTGTTGACTTTTGTTTTGTTTCCGTTACGTCTCTGTTAGGAAATGCTATCTGAACGTGAGCATTGCTGGCCGTTGAAGCTTAGTATGGCTACATGTATTTCTTCCCAATGCCCGCTGCTGTTCCGTGTCGTGGAGGGAGGGAGGGAGGGAGGGAGGGAGAAAGTGGGCTGGAGTTTGCGACTGTCCTGCTGCGTGTGCTTGTGTGTTCCAGTTGACGCCTAGGGGCATATTTTTTTCTTTTTTTTTTCTCTGCAACACGCACATCTGGCTTCCATTTATTTGTTTCTGTGGCTTAACGTTTTTTGATACCACGCGGGCTACTTGCCCATTCTACAAGCAAATACACCTACCGCTGTATTGTGCCCCCCTGGGCCGAAGTGGGTTGTTGCGTGTTTTGTGATTTTGAAGCGAATAGCGAAGAACAACAACAAGGCAACACCAGCAAAAGGGGTAGATAAGCAACAGATAGAGTACATTAATTAAAAGGTCGAATTAATATGGAGGAACAGGAACGTATACCCATGGAGTCGGGTGCCAGTGACCTGGCGGCAGAGGAGGGATCACAACCGCCGCCGTCAGAATCTGTGCAGGCGCAGGAGTCTGCAGTTGAATTCTCAACTGTGGTTACTCAGCAGACTCCTGAGCATTTATGTCAAAACGGCGAGGAGAGAGCACTAAGCAACAGCAACTCCTTCTCCTTGGCCCGACCAGGTGTCGCTACAGATCCAGAGCCGTTGCGGAACCTTATTGTGAATTACCTTCCTCCCATGATGGATGAAATGGAGCTGTGCGGCCTTTTTGGCCAGTTTGGTCCCATTGAAAGCGTGAAGATTATCTATGACAGGGAGACACGGGAGAGCCGAGGGTATGGGTTTGTGAAGTATGTTTACTACTTTAGTGCGTCATATGCCGCGAATTCGCTCAATGGGTACTGCATTGCGGGGAAGCGTCTGAAGGTGGCGTACGCTAATGTGGAGGCGGCGTGGGAGGCGTACAATTCATTGAGGGCGTCGGCCATGATGTTCTCTCTACAGCAGCAGGCGGCCTTGCAGACGGTCTTCTACCAACAAATGCTCCTGGCACGGCAGGAGGAGGATGAACGTCGTCAGCGGTAGAGGTCCCTTAAGTCTGACGTAGCAAGTGTGAGACAGGTGTATGTGTTTTTTTTTTCGTCTTTGTGTGGGCGGGACTTGAGGCGCCGTTTGTTTGGTGTGGCGTACTGCTTTTCCATAAGCTTGATTGTTTTTTATTTTTGATGTTGTTGTTTTTTCCTTTCCGTACCCCAAACCTGGGGGCGGACTTTGGACGGCATGAGCGAATGAGCATGTTTTTGTGTGAGACAACTATGAGTTGTAGGGCTGACATTTCTTTGGATGCGTGGCCCACGTGGCGCCGGCAAAGGCGGAAGGGGGATTGCCAGGCAAATATTGCATTGAACGAAGGAACTAACATTTCAGATAAGGACGGGAGGAGAGGAATGCGGCAGCCAGGCGAAAACAGAACGTATGTGCACAAAGGTACGGAGGGAAAAGAAAAGGAAAAACGGAAAAAAAATAAATATACGTGGCAGAGGAAAAGAGAGGGATGGGGTGAGTGCTTTAAAGGTGAACGCCGTATTCCATTCCCCATGATAACGTCATTGCTGCATGAACTCTGCGAAGAAACTAATTTGCAGTTTTTTTTTTTTTTCTTTGGGGAACAGAATTTCTCCAAACGGTAGGGAACAGAGCGCCGCCTTCAACAGCCCTGTCTGTTTTTCCCTTCTCCACCCCAGAAAAAAAAAAAAACGACAACAAATACATAAAGAGGTAAAAATAAAAGGCAAATATTCCAAAAAGGACGGTTTGCGCGCAGATTTTTTTTTTGCTGTTTGTTATTCTTCATGTTGCAACTCCCTCGTTCTTGTTTGTTTTTCTGTTGCAGTGCTGCAGTTGCCACCCGATGTGCCACCGGGACGCAGCGTCGGGGTTGAAGAAAGAGGAGGAAGAAAAATAAAACATGCCCGTCGCATCTCTCTTCCTGCACCCGCAGAGGGACATTCTGTGGGAAAGGCTCAAATGAGGGGAACTTGTGCTGCTACTTCTGCTTTGCATGCACATACGTTTTATATACAAAGCACCCGAGCCCATGTTTTTTGTCGAGATTTTTTTTTCCTGTATTCTTTCCCGGCCCACATGATATTATTGTGAGCACTATTATTACTTGCATTGCCCCGCGCTGTGTTATACCGCAGACTCTTTTTTTTTTTAAAATTCTTCCCTCTGCTCTGTGCCACGTAGGTGTGACTTTTTTCTGCTTCTTGTTCCATATTCTTTGCTGCTTCTTGGTTTAGACGGTGGGCACAGCGGGTGTGCGGCTTTTTGTCCAAGGGCGGTGGAGGTTTTCGCCCTGTTATACGGAAAAAAAAAGATAACATAGAGCAACAGACATCTACGTATTCGCCAATGATGCATGGTGGCAGCGCCATCCCTGGCAAGAAACCCTCGCATAACCGGGGTGGGACCACTTGCATGTTTTTTGACGCAGCCCTCTCCACAGCTGCTTCTGATGCTGGATATGATCTTCTTCACCCACCGGGTGAGAAGGCAACGTTGCTTGGTGGACTTGCCTTGTCCCCACCGCAACCCGACGGCGAAGATGGTGCGGTAAAAAGCCCTGCGCCTGACGTGGAGGTGCTGATCTTGGATGCGGTAGAGATGGTGTTGGCGGCGTACAACAAATTCCCTATCGCTTTCGACACTGACGGAGAAGTCGCTATGAAGTCTTTTTCATTGCGTGTATCCCTCACGAACCTTTGCACGCTTTCGACGCTTCTTTCTCATCGGCCGCCGTTTTCGTCTCCGGTGCTGGCAGCGCTTTTCCAACTCACGATCTTGGTAGTGAAGCATGCCCCACTTCAGGCACTGGATGAAGAGGGATGCCGTCTGCTGCTGTGCCTTGTGGAGCTACTTGGGTGTCTGCCGCGCGGCCTTGAGCTCGCTGGGGTACCAAGCATTCAGCGTGTGGCCCGCATCACGGCGCGCAACGTCATGCGCCGTGTGGGACCGCGTCTTTCTCTCTCAGCTTTTCCCGCTTTATCCCAGGCAAATGGGACGGGTGCAGCCCCTGCTGCCGTGAAAGAGCAGTTGAATCGGGAGCTTATTCCTTGGATGACGCGACAGCTCTTACCACTGCACGCCGTCACAGGAGCAGCGGCTCAGGCGGACTTAAAGGAGGATCGTCGTCTCGCCCTCTCTTTGCTGGACTTCATGTTACTTGGCGAGGGGGAGGAAGGGAGGTATGGCCTTGTTGGCAGCTACCGGATTTCAATGCACTACCTTGCCGACACCGTTGCCTCACTTCTCGAGGAGAAGGAAGAGGATGGAGGCGTTGAAGGCCACGACAGAGAGGTTGCACTTGCCTTTTTGAATCGGGTGGATCGTGCCCTTTTAGCTCCGTCCATGGACTCACCAGGGTCCACGGCAAGCGTGGGTGAGACGCATGAAGGGGGGACTCTCTATCCACCACCACCACTACGGGTGCAGGCCGTTCGAGAGTTTCTGCGGGCGAAGGATGCGGCATACGTGGCAGAGTTTACCCAATTGCATGAGTGCATTGAGCAGGAGCAGGAGACCCATGCTGCTCTTCAGCAGCAGCTTGTGGTTCTCACTAAGGAGCACGCGCGAGTACAAAATGAGCTACGTGACGATGTAATTCGCACATTTCAGGGGGGCGAAGGGGATGCGTCAGGTTGCACGTTAATAAAAAGCGATGCACTACACAAGGAACCTTCGGAGATGTTCGCTTCATCTTTGGAGGAGTGGACCCATAATTTGCTGGGGTTTCTGCGGCCAGTGGAAGAGATCACCATAGCTTTGCATGAGGAGCAACAACGACAACGTACCTCCTCTTAGGAGAGAAGGTGGGTCCTGCTCAGACAGACGAACAGACACAACCACAGAGAAAGAGCGGGGACGTTGAAGGAAGTGAGACAATGGGAGAAACAGATGCATGTGTGTTTGTGTGCCCCGTTGTTAACATCTTCTGTGTGTGTGTGTCGGTGTGCTTGTAGCCATTCTGCTCTAATAAGGGCCTTTGTTTTTGCTTAGCTGGAGAGACACAGTTGCGTCTTTTTTTTTTTCTCCGCTCTTTTTATTTACTGGCTTCTTTGCATAGGGCCATTATTTCTGTGGGTAATACAGGTCGTTTGTATACGCACCACGTGAACAGTGAAAGAGACCGCAATACGGGGGGGGGGAAAAAAGAGGAACCAACCAAGAAGGACAAATAAGGACATTAAAGAAGGGTATCCTTCACTACCATGTCTCAACAAATGCAATACTACGCTCCTCAGCAACAACCACAGCAAGCAGCAGCGGCGCAGATGAACCCGGAACCCGATGTGCTGCGCAACCTCATGGTGAACTACATTCCCACGACGGTGGACGAGGTGCAGCTGCGTCAGCTGTTTGAACGCTACGGCCCCATTGAGTCGGTCAAGATTGTCTGTGATCGTGAGACACGCCAGAGTCGTGGCTATGGATTTGTGAAGTTTCAGAGTGCTTCAAGTGCCCAACAGGCCATCGCTGCATTGAACGGCTTCAGCATTCTCAATAAGAGGTTGAAGGTAGCTTTGGCGGCGAGTGGCCATCAACGGAACCGTAACGGTGCCAGCGCTGGGTTTGGAGCCTATGGTGGGTATGGCACATATGGCGGCTACGGCGCCTACCCTTCCGCTACGAACCCCTACGCGCAGCAGCAGATGATGGCAATGCAAAACCCGTATATGATTACACAGTCTGTGCCGTCTATGTCCCGTTCTTAGATTCTGGCCGCCTTTTTTTTTATGGGAAAGAACGCATAGTATGAGTTTTTTTTTTGACTTATTTGTTTCTGTGTGTTTGTTTGTTTTTGTCTATTAGTTTTATGAGGACTCAGACCCCACCACATATGTGTTATATATATATATATATATATAACACATATGTAAGTAGATGTATACACATGTCCGTAGGTAAGTGTATATATATATATATATGTAGGGTGAATCCAGCGCGGCGGCAAGGCTGGAATATGGTTTTTCCCCCTACACTACTCTTCTCTCTCTTTTCCCCCACTAAACAGGAGGAAAAGATGGTATACATCTATACAACCAATGAGGGAACGGGGTAGAAATTGAAGAAATACAGAAATTGGCGGAGATGAATAAGAAATACCTTTTTTTTCCTTTTTTCCAAAGAAACAAGTGAAGAAAAGACAAGAAGAGGAATGAAGAAGCGAGGAGAGGGGGATCTAAAGAGGAAAAAAAACAACAAAAAAAACGAGGCGAAGACGCACTACGGAGACGAACAGGAGTGCTTTCTGTGGGGAGAGAAGGATGGTGATGTGGAAGTAGGTAATGGTTTTGGCGGAGGGGTAATGGTGTGGGAGAGCGTGACGAGCACTGTGAACGGAAGACGCAACGCGTAAATGCATCGAGAGGGGTCTCATCTATGAAGCGTGCGCACTTTATTTTCTTTTTTATTTCTTTGTCGCTTCTTGGTTATATATATATATATATACCTGTATGTTTATGTGTTTCTTTTTTTTTTTTTGTTATCCACCCACACACCCGCACAAGCCCTCTAACGCTATTCTCCACACACACTTGTTTTCCAGCGACACATCGCGCTCAGCATTACTGCCATTATTTCTGAATATATAAAAAAAAACACCCACACTTTGCAAAGGCCCATCCGTCATTTGTGGCGTATCGATTTTTTACTTGTTCATTTTTGTTGTTGCTACTCGATACATTGCCTGTGGGTATGCATCTGCGCGTCTTTCTGTGCCTAACTGTGCTTGCCGGCAAATGTATTGGGCTATCAAAAAGAAACTTTTTTTTTTTTTCCACGCCGTGCAGGAAGGAGGCAACAACATTACGTGGCCTCCGGGCGAGAGCCCGGAACAGAAACATCTTTGCAAGCAGATCAGCAAATATGCACATCTATGCATGTAACCTGTTCCGCACCTCTCGCTCTCTATACACACGGCAAGAGATCAAAGTAAACCCTCTCAGAAAGAAACAAAGCACAAACACAAAACAACGAAGAAGAAGGAAAAAAAAAAAAAAAACTGGGAACAGTAGGATTTTAAAAGAAAAAAAAAGAGAAATACATTAGAGAAAAATAAGAAAAAAAAAGGAACAAGAAACCTACACACGGGAAACAGATTATATATGTCATTTCTCTTTGTCTGTTTCGTTACATGTTTTTTCCCACCCTCTCCTTTCCTCCATTTCGTCGGTTGATCTGTGTGTATTTTCTGGCGGCCCATTGGCCGTGGTATGCTTTTCAGGTCTGTAACGCTTTCCTGCGGGATAGGGAGCGAAGAGTGTGAGGCTCCACTGCGTGAGTGGCGCAAAGAGCAAAGACGTTGTGAGAGCTAGGAAACGAGCATTGAAATGAATGCACTGAAGTTGGAACGAAAGAGAATTAACAGGGACGGTAATTGGCCAAAACGGAGGAAGCAAAGGGAAGAGGAACGAGTAAAGCGAGATAGTGATGGTTTGGGGAATGGGGGCTGGACAACGATATCTCCGCGTTCATTAGCTGGGCTTTGTGCTTGTAGTATTATGAAGATTCAAAAAGCCCCGTCTGGGTGGGATGTTTGTCCTTGCACCTTCCTCTTTTCTTGCCCATCATTTTACGTTGTTTTTTTTTTTTCCTTTTGACTACTTTTTGGAATGAGAGTTACTTACTTCTCCCTCCGTGCCTGGTGTACGTAGGTGTAGATTGTCCTGTTGACAACAAGAATTTTCTGTACAGACGCCTTGATCGCATATTGTCGTGGTCACGCACACGCCTGCGTGGGAATTCTTTTTATCTGCATTCCCTGCCAAGAGCAACAATAACAACTAAAAACAGCGACAAAAAAAAAAATGTGTGCTCATGCACCATTTATTTGGATTTTTATCTCCATTTTTTTTTTCCCCCTTCTCATCCCTGTGTGTGTGTGTGTGTGTGTTTGTTTGTTTGTTTGTTTGTTTGTTTGTGTGGTTTGTGTGCGTGCGCGCGGGTAAGCAGTGCGAGGGTTGGGACGGAAATGCATGGGTGAAGCGAGTATGGAAAATACCCGTCAGACAAAAGCGAACAACCTAAAAAATAAAATTAGCGTTGATGTTTTCGTCAGACACACGACTCTTCCTGAAGCTGCAATAGGAGGCATCAGCTGCATGAGATAGAGCCCCCTAAGAGTGGGAGAGCGACCAGGGGAGATGTGGAGACGTCGACAAAATACAGGCAAAACCGAAAAACACATACTTGTAGACGAGCCACTTTTTGTCCTAATTTGGTTTGTTCCTTTGCATTGGTGGTGAGTGGTTTGTGGAGGCCGCTGGGGTTTGCCGCAAATGCCACACGACAATTGGGAGAAGAGGTAATAAAATAAGGCAAGAACGATAGAAGGGTGGGGGAAACAAATACTCTCGCAACAACCACACGCACACGCACACACACGCACACACAAACACACACACACACACACACACACACTAGGGAGCAAAGAGGGCGTCACAATAACATGAATGACTTCTGCATCAGCGGAAACGAAAGAACAACAGTGGAAGAAGAAAAAGGACACGGAAAAGAAGAGAACTGGTAAAAGAAGAGACAGAAAGGGAAAGGGCAACAGACTGGCATGGTTTTTATGGGTCTCGTCAGGTGTTTCACTCGCACCGCATCCGTACACGCGGACAGGTAGCTACATTGCTTGAATGTGAGGGTTGAGATCAATAAGAAACAGTACGGCAACGAAAGGAAAGAGAGGAGTGAGGTGGGCTCGTTCGCGCCAAGAGACACTAGTAACGCCTGACGCCCGGACGAGGGACTGCCCATTGTTTTTGTTTACTTTTTTTTTGACTTTTTTTTTGTGGCAACCAGGCTTTTCCGTTGTCTTGCTTCCCACATCCTTCTGTTTCATGCTAGGAAACGACACCTTCTGCTGTTTGTTTCTTTTGCGTGTGACCTGCAGTTTTTGTGGGCTGCTTCTGTTGTTGTTGTTGTTTGTTTTTTTTGCTTCCGTGTGTGCTTGATGTCTTTTTCTCCTTTTTTGATCCCTTTTTTTCCCCCGCGTTTGCGGGCCAACCCCACGTAGAGAAAAGTTTTTTTTTTGTTTTTCGGTTTTTTTGTTTTTGTTTTTGGTTTTACTTATTTGTTTTTGAGTCGTAAAACATGAGCCAAATCCCGTTGGTTTCGCAGTACGACCCCTACGCCCAGACTGCTCAGCTGCAGCAGTTGCAGCAGCAGCAGCAGCACCTTCAGCAGCAGCAGATGAACCCGGAACCCGATGTGCTGCGCAACCTCATGGTGAACTACATTCCCACGACGGTGGACGAGGTGCAGCTGCGTCAGCTGTTTGAACGCTACGGCCCCATTGAGTCGGTCAAGATTGTCTGTGATCGTGAGACACGCCAGAGTCGTGGCTATGGATTTGTGAAGTTTCAGAGTGCTTCAAGTGCCCAACAGGCCATCGCTGCATTGAACGGCTTCAGCATTCTCAATAAGAGGTTGAAGGTAGCTTTGGCGGCGAGTGGCCATCAACGATCAAGTGTTGCGGGAGCGGTCGCCGACAGCAATGGATACCTTGGGGCGTATGGTGGCTACGGCGCCTACCCTTCCGCTGCGAACCCCTACGCGCAGCAGCAGATGATGGCAATGTATCAGCAGTACATGATGCAGGCGCCGCAGCAACAACCGCATCAGAACCAACAACAGATGTCGCTCTCTACCCAGTCCCCCACACAGCAGTCTCCGCCGCAGCAACAGCAGCCTTCTTCGCCGCAACAGCAACCACAAGCTGCCCGCCCTGCTCGAAGGTAGCGTGTATTAGGGAGCGTGGGCATTGGTGGAGGCAACATAATTGTCTGTGTATGTTGTGATGGATGGCTTGTCCTGCGTTGCAAGGGTCTTTTTCCCGTCCCCGGCTTAGTGGGGAGGCGAAGCCCTTGATAAAAACCGGCTGAGAGGAGGAAGCCAAATCAACTTGGCAAACAAAAATAAAATAAAAAACACCACGAAGAAAAGGAACAAGGGCGACGTGGAGAGCGATATATGATGCAAGAAGGCGTAAAAGCGAAACAGAAAAAAAAGTATCCGTAGGTGGACTAACGCAAAAAAACAAAAAAAAACAAAAAAAACTGTTGGTGGGGGGAAAGTGAGGACAAGAGACTCAAATTGGGGGCAAAGTGGTCCCATCAGGCACACCAATTTGCCCCAAGAAGGAAAAAAAAAAGGAAAAAAAACCGATGTCGCACAAACAAACGGAGAATGAAAAAAACAAATATTGTGATGAAATAACATGGGAAAATATGAGGAGAAATGAAGCTCTTTTTGTTGGGCCGCTACATGTATGAATCGTGTGAGATGAAGACAGAGAAGGAAGATGAGGAACACCTTGGTGAGGAAGAAGATCAACACACAGGAAAAAAAAAATGGATAAAGAAGGCTCTGCGATGAAGTAGTAATGGAAGAGGTTAAGAAGAATGCATTCGCCTCACAGAACACATGTGCGCTCTGCTTCGGATACGCATTATTTTGTGCCCATAACTTTCTCTGCACCTTCTGATATATGCGAATGCTTTTGGAACCACATGGAATGCGCTTCACTGATTTAATGAGAGGTTTAGAGAGAACTGACAGCTCTTCCGTGGAGCTGGCTTGCTTTGGTTTTACTTTGCCCTTCGGCAGGGTGGGTGCCGCGCATTCCCTTTCAAATAGATGGAAGTGTAGTGCAGGAAGTTAGCCTTATATTCATGTAGCGCGCCATCGACAGAAGCAAAATGATGTTTAACGGATAAAGGAGAGATAAAAGAGTATTCCTGATAAAAGATGGTATGTGTTTTGGTGCATGTGTGTTTGCATGCGATTTTGTGTGCGTGTGTGCGAGTGGAGGGGGCGAAGGCGGGGGAGAATTGAGTGTGAAAGACACTGTGAGAAGTGAAGTGGCGGGAATTTCTGTCATATCAAAGAAACGTAGACAACGATAACAGAAATTCTTTTGATTTACATTTGTTTATATCTCTATTCCACACACACACACATTTTTTTTTTTGGACTTCCTCGTATTGTTTTTAGTTTTTGCTGCGTCTTCCAATAAGCATCATGGTAGCAGACAGAATTGAAAGCGATTCGTTAAAGATGACTCTTTTTTTTTTCTCGCTGTTTCAAGCTCAACTTGCCTTTTTTTTGTACTATGCTGGTTTCTTGGCCTTTACCGCATTCTTCTTTGAAGTGCTGCGTTTTTATACCTTTGTCTTACATGTATTGGGGTCATTCTTGTTCGTTTTTTTTTTTTTTAGAATATCTCTTGTTTTATGTTACCTCTTGTTTTTTTTTCGTTTTGTTTTTCCACTTCTCTATGGATATATGGGGGCGTGAGAATTACCTGCACCATGAATGTTTGACTGGTCATCCTTTATGGAGGTGGCGGAGAGAAGAAGAAGAAGGTGTTGGTGGGGGAATATAAAAGATAATGACGCGCGCTCATGGCGCTTGTTGAACCACACAGTGAGCGTATATGAAGGGTACACACCCGTACGCTGGCACCCCTCCGTGGGTGGTGTGGGGGTCACACCCTTTTTCTGTGCCTATGTGGCTGTCTGTCACTGTTGTTGCTTGCGATTGATGGTCATTTCCCACATGGTTTTCGTTTTGATGCCATTCTGGTGGCGAGGTGCCGTTATCGCTGTCTTATTGGTATTTTTTTTCCCCCCGTTTTTCTTTCGTTTCAGTTCTTTTCGTTGTGCGCCATCACTGTTGCCGATTCTGCACCTCCACCCCCCCTCTTCTTTTCTTTCCCGCAGCACCGCCTCGTGGACCCCTTTCTGCGGACGACTTGGTTGCCATGTCCCCTTCCACCCGTTCCACGGAGCATGCGAGGGAGGGAAGTAAGAAAAAGCGGGAGAGGGCTGAGGGGAGTGGGTGGGTGAGTGGGTTGCGCATTCTGAGCATTGGCTGTGGAACGGCACACACACGCCTTTTTTGTGATCCCTTGTTTGATTGTTTCCTGTGTTGACTGCCAACTTTTCTTACTCTGAACTTCGCGAAAAAAAAAAACAGGGCGGTGTAATGCGGCGGTGGAGCAAAAAACTCGATGGGGGTAAGGAAATGCAAAAAAGGAAAATGAACGACAGATGCCAGTGTGGAGAAGGAAGCAATTCTGAGGCCCATGTTCGCCGCGTTTGCGCACGATGGGGGGGGAGGAAGGGACGAAGACACGGAGTTATGGGTAAGGGGGAAACGTACGTACGTCTTTAATTGAGTAGGAAACAAGAGATACCAGCGCAGAGTGGCTTCAAGAATGAATGATAGACGTGGGTGTGAAGTAACAAACGAAAGGCGGAACAGAGATCAGGCAGGGGCACAGACAGTTTCCTACGACGAATAACAGGCAAACAATTATTTGGCCAGAGCGAAACACAAACACATACAAAACAAAATAAAAAGGCGGGGTACACACATGTTTGCGCAAAAGTAACAAAACAGAGAAGAAAGGAGCGAGGGAGGGGGAGAACGGACGCAGGGGAGGGAGTAGGCAATGAAATGACTGATGAGTAAAAAATGAATTTGAAAAGAAGAGAGGCATGAAGCGAAAAAAAAAAACACGACAAAGGTGGACAAGAGGAAATGAAAATGATATAAAAAGAGGAGCATGAACCCCGGCAATTAAATGAAACGATGTTTAACTGATAAGTAAGGGAGACCTACTCTATTCGTTCACTTCTGAACTGCGTGTGCGCGCGACGTGGTGCAAGCCTAGATATGGGAAGAGGACTGTGTGGGACGTTCTGGAAGACATATCAGATACACGCAGCGACCTTGAAAAAAAAAAAGGTTGTAAAACAAAGAGGGGATGAAAGCTCTTTTTTTGATTTTTTTTTCTTTTCTTTGGAAGACTGAGGAGGGTATCCTCACCTGAGCGTGTTGTTGCGGAACAGGGCACTGCTGAACGAAGAAGAGAGGCCTGCTCGTGTACACACACACGCATGCACAATTACACACGTAATTGCATGCCGAAGAGTAAGCGGAAAAGAAGACGGCGTTCATGTTTCTGAGGACGATGTGCAACCGTTGACGAAGAAAGCGACTTTGGAGAAGCAGAAACCCCACGAAAAGAGAGTGGGCTCTGCGGTCCTTGTTGTTTAGCGCCAGATGGTGTATTGCATCATACAAGGATTACTCGCAACTCGTTATATTATGATAGCAGCCTGATTTACTTCAACCTCGCGGGAGACGGGGTGTTACTGGAAATATGCTATTAAAAATAGAAATTGAGGAGTAACTCTATTCGCTGAACTATTACTGTGTTCTTTCTCACCTTTTTTTTTGGCTTTTTTTTGTTTTTGTTTTGTTGTTGTTATAGATGTTGCCTTGCTTCTGTTAGAAGGAGGTGGCGTGAAGGCAATGAAGGATATGGCTGCCTAACACTCTTCAACAGAGGGAAGGTAAAATTATAGGCGGCGCAACAATATTCCGCTAACGTTTTAAGTTCTACTGTCAAGCTGCGGCGGTTGGCCGTAGGAGGGCACCACATCCCCCACTCTTTTCCGTGGTGTCCGGCCTGGCAATTGGAGACTGCATGGTGGTGCACGGAGGGAGCATGTCTGCACGTTTTTGAAACTTCTGGGCCGAGGAGGATGAAGTGAAGGAGATGAAAGTGGGGGAGGAGGAGACGGCGTTCTGTGGAGGACACCCAGCGGGGGATAGGGGTCTCAACGGATCAGCGACGGGGAGCACAACATCCCACAAACGGAGCGACGACGTCTCCCTTTTTGTTGATATATATATATATATATATTTTTGAGCCGCTCCGTGCATCTTTAGGCGACATTCTGTTACCCCATTTTGTTTTTTTTTTTTTTGAAGCATCGCTCGTGGACACTCGCAGATGACTCTGGCGGCGAAGAAAAGGCGCGTTGGATTCACAGAGAAAAGCAGCGTCGGCCATGGGAGGAAACGGGGGGAAAAAAAAGAGCCACGGGACACATATTTTGTTTTGAGGATGAAGATTGTGGAGACTTTTATTTTTGTGTTCAATTGCCTTCTGACGATGCATAAAAGAGGAGGGACGTTTACCCCTCTCGGAGCGTATGCCACCGGGGAGTGATGGAGATGCCAAAAGCTTTGCACCGGCCTTTTCAGCTTCTGCGTCTGTGTCCGATGCATGCTCGTTCGCTCTCCTCACCACCGTGCCATCGTCACTGTATGCGCCTTGTTGGTTTGACATCTTTGCTGTTTGACTCGTTCATTTTGCGTTCCCTACCTTTTGTTTGTCTCTAGCGGTGTGGAGGTTCTTTTCTCTCCGTGTGTCTGTTTTCGCGAAGCTGCAGCTTCTGGTTTTTGCTTCTTGTGGGCAACTCACAGTGGCGGGGGCTTGGCGATGCGTCGTGGCAGAAGTGATGGCTCGGTGATGTACGCCTCGTCATCCAGCGACGACGACAGTGGCAGGGCCGACGCGAACCGCAACACTGTTCTTCGCGGAAGCGATTCCCATGCCGTGCTGCAATCGTTGTCTTTGGGGAACGATCAGCCAGCTGGGGCGGCTTCCCACTTCACAAACAGGCCGCAGGGGTCCGTGGTATCGGAGGCCCAGGAAAACACACCCTCCACCTCGGCAAGTAAGGCGTCGGTAGCAGTGCAGCTCCAAGAACTCTCAGGGTACACTGATTGGAGTCCTGGAACGCAGGTTCTTTTCCTGCCGAATTCAGCAGGGTATTCTAAGACTGCCTCTGCCACGGAGTGGGAGTTGGGAAGAATTGTTGAGCTTCTGCCAATGACCACCGCCAGTGGGGGGACTGGATACAACAGGGTGGACACCGGCGATCGTGTTGTTGTTGTGGAGAGGGTTGGCCGCGGAAGAGTTTTGGATGGGAGTCGTATCCAGACTACACTTGCGTGCGTGCGACGTTACAGTTATGAAGGATCGCCGTTGGACGTTGATGATTTGTGTACATTACCTGAGCTGAGCGATGCGGCTTTGTTGTATTCTTTGCAAGAACGATATTTAGCCGGACTGTACTACACCTTTACGGATCGAGTCTTGCTGGCAGTGAATCCGTGCCGGTCTACGGTGTATCCTCCACAGGCCCCGCACCCAAAACACATCGTGGGAGCAATGATGGAGGCTCTATGTCGGCCGAAAAGCCACCTTAAGACTAGAGAAGATGATGGTTATGAGACCGCCCGGGAATCCGAAGTGGATGCCACCTTAAAACCATGCCCGGTGGCTCTTGTTGTAACCGGTGATAGTGGGGCAGGGAAGACGGAAACTGCAAAGCTTGTTCTTCACCATCTGCTTGCTCAACCACCCACTGGCGCGGAAGAAATTGTATCGCCTCATGAAGCTTCTGTGTCTAGAGACCTGCTGCACGTTCTTGACGCAACAAGTTGTCTGCTTGAGTCATTTGGTAACGCCTTGACGCCGCTTAATGACAACTCCTCTCGATTTATGAAATGTGTCACTATGTTTTTTAATCCATGTACCGGGGAGGGCGTTGGTGCCAAAGTTGAATGCTTTCTCTTGGAGGTGTCGCGTTTGGTAGCTCGCTTACCAGGCGACTCTACGTTTCACATTTTTAACATGCTCTTTGACGCAAGGCACGGACTAACCCCCGAGGAGCGGGATCGCCTTGATACATGGGACCCAACGCTCTTCCGTGCGATGCAGTCTGATGTGCATGAGCCTTCGCTAGGCTTCCCCCCGTATACGCTCTCGCAGTTTCGTGTGGCCTTGCGGGTGATTGGGTTTAGTGACAATAAGGTGGAAATGGTTTTGCAAGTCTTGTGTGGTATTCTTCACCTACTGAATATTGAGTTTACGGCACGTGATTTGTTTACACCAGCCTCTGTCGCTCCTGCCTCGATGCCAGCATTGGAGACGGCCTCACATTTGCTGGGATTTTCTTTGACAGAGGCACACCACTCTCTGGAGACGCTATTTACGACGGTGCGGCTGGGAAACGAGATCCGGAAGCTGCACTGTAGGGCGGCCGAGGTGGCGCGGGACTCCACCGCCAAACATCTTTACGAGTCCCTTTTTCAGTACATTTTGCGCGGCATTAATGAGGCTCTTCATCCATTGACAGCGGAGGTGGAGGCGGGGTGTGCAGAGCTCACCATCCTGGACATCTTTGGGTTTGAATTCAGGGATGAAAAGTGTGGCAGCAACGATCTAGAACAGTTGTTGATCAACTACGCGAATGAGGCAGTGCAACGTTTGTATGAGGAGACGACGTTTAACATTTTGCTCACCGAGGCAAGGCGCGAAGGAGTTTCTATTGAGTTGCCACCCGAGTTGCAGCTGGATCGTGGTTCCACCTTTGAACTTCTTGTGCAATGTCCTCATGGAGTGTTGGACATCATCAACGATGATAGTCTTCTTGCCCAGCGTTCCCAGCAGGAAGGTGGGACCAATTTGGCTGCATTATTGGTTTCACTCCAAAAGCGTTTTCCGGGCTTATTAAGACCGCATGGATCAGGTCCTGCGAAGGTGTCGCTCCAACACTTTTGTGCGACTGTGGTATACGACACAAGTAACATGTCTGCAAAGAACCGTATCTCTACAGTAGCGGAATTCATATGCGCTGCAACCTGTAATGAGTTTCTCCAGGAGATCTGTGGTGTCGCTTTGGCGAGCCCCGCAGGGCAGAGACGGTTCTTTCAAAATGATGACGTTGAAAGGAGACTTGCTCCTGGGTCGTACGCTACCACTCTTATTGGGCGGTTTCGTTCACAGATGGAATTACTTATGACAAGGCTGAAGACCTCCAAACTATTTTGGATTAGATGCATTAAACCAAATAGGCATAAAAGTCAGCAAGAGTTTGACGGGGCACTAGTTCTTTCACAGTTAAAATGTGGAGCAATGTTGCGTTCACTCATGTTGTTTGGAAAGGGGTTCTGCCACAGTCTCAGCTACAAGTCCTTTACACAAAAGTATCTTTCTCTAGCAGTACGAGGTTACTGCTGTGACGCGTTTCAGCAGATTGGCTCCGGGAAGATTCTTGACGCCACTGGCTTACGAGGAACCAAAGAAAAAACTGCGTCGTCCCTCTTGCCAAGTAAGCAAACTCGATTACGTAATGGTGTGGCGTTTGATGCTGCCGTCTATGATGCACGCTTTCAAGAGGCATGTGTTTTGGCAACGGGGTTTCTCTCTTGCTGTATGGACGGTGCATTGTTGCTTGGAAGCAGTAAGGTATTTCTACGCTCGAGCACTCTCCGGGCGTTGCTGGCCTTGGGCAGCTTGGCAAAAAGGGAGGCGGTGCAACGGATAGGACGCGTGGGACGTGGCTTTCTGGAGCGTCGCTCGTTGGTGGTTGCGTGGCGTTCCTACCAGAAGCAGAGGCGTGTGGCTGTCATTCGAGAACGCATGGCGGCCGAATTGCCACGGCGTAAAACCCTGGAGAGAGAACGCGAGGACTTGCTGTTGCATTCTTCCGAGGGGCGTGCGGAACATTTGGCTTTCTTGTCGCGTCAGGCGATGCAGTCCTCGAAGCGTGTTGAGCGGCACTGGAAGGAGGCGATGCATTTACTGACCTCGGAGCTAACACAAGCGATTGGGGAAATGACGATGTTTGACAAGACACGACTTCAGAAGGAAGAGGAGATCCAGCAGGAGATGATGATGCGGGAATCTTACAGGAGACGCATACAGGAGTCCATGAATCGAGGGAAGCTGGGTCGCAAGACGGCACATCGCTGTCTACTTGAAAAGCAACGTCAAGCGACAAGCGAGAATGCAGCGGCTCGTCGCAGCCATGCGGTTATTGATGCTGAGCGTGAAAAGGTGATACGAGAGGAGATCATTAGGGCCCGTCAGATGCAGCTGCGGGTAGAGCAGGAGGTATTAGTGGAGCAGCAGGCGCGAGCGCTTTGGTGCAGGGAACGCCGGGAAACAAGAAACATACGGCGTCATTTGGACAAGCAACAACAACGTATAGCCGATCGGGCCCGGTTGAAGGAGGAGGTTCAACAGCGGTGTCATGTGGCCTCGCGACTGTGTTTGCGGTCGCGGTCGTTTCATTCCTCGGAGGTCCCAAGTTTGGCTTCTTGTGGCAGGGAGAGGGACGTGACGGAGGAGGCGTTGGAAGACTACGCAGCGCTCGGGCTGGTGAAGACCCCTGTATCCAGAGAGAGTCCCGCAGTATCGCATGCTTCGCGCTCACTTCCCATTCAACGCGAGGCGGGCTCAAGCACCCCGGGGGAAGACCGTAACCCAGAAGTGGAATGGATCGTGCAAAAGGATATGATGACATTCTGGGAGTCTCTGTACGAAGGATTGAACAGCTGAGCGCCTGGTTTCCTCTCTCTCTTTTGCTCTCCCTCTTCCCCAGGCGTGGAGGAAGAGCCCGGGGTGAGGTGAGGTGGGCTGGTGAGTGGAAGGACACTGCAACACTACTTTTTGGCTTTGAACAGGAGCAACAACAAGAAAAACAAAATGATGGCATTCTGGAATAATTGAGCCCATTCTTATAGCTCACTGTCTACATCTACATGGATGAACCGGTTGAGTGGGAACGAGGGGATTAACAACTTTCATTTTCTCTCAGCGCATTTCTTTTTCTCTCTTTCTTTCCCCTTTTTCTTTGTTCATTGTATTCTTTTCTGTGACACGTTTTTTTTTTGTTGTTGCTGTGTGTCAGCAGCTCTCTCTGTCACTTCTTTGTGTTCTTCTTTGGTCGGCTTTGTCCTCGCGTTGGGTGGGCTGTTCCTTTGCAGAGCAGGTGCGTATAGAGTAGAGAGAAGAGGAGGAGTGGTGCTGTGGTTGGAGGCGGCGGACATTGTTGAGGCGCTCCCACGCTTGAAGTCACATTTATTTTCCTCTTCCTTTTTTTTTGCTATGGTTTTTTTGTAGGTGAGGGGTAAGGTGGGTGCCTGGCCCCAACCGTCGTTAGCGTCGAGGTTACGTGGACTAGCAGCAGTGCGACGCGGCCCTGCAGTAAATAACGCCGTCGACGGAAAACAGGAACAGCAGCAACGGGAAACTACCCAGCAGTGATTATATATATATATATATAGGAGGGTGGGGCACAGTGACTTGCCAAATGCTCTGCGGCCTCCATCAGGTTATCTTCTTTGCCCTCTTTCTCGTTTTGTTGACAGATGGCGTGTATGGAGGGAGTACGTGTGATCCTGTCGAGGGGTATTATGTGCCAAACGGGGAGGACTATCGGGGGCACGTGAATGTGACAGAGATGGGGATTCCATGCCGGAAATGGAGTGAGCAACACCTGCACCTTCACGATACACCTGTCTCAAGCTCCTTGACGGGTGTGGGAGACCACAACTATTGCCGAAATCCCAATGGACTTGAGCGTCCTGGCTGCTTCACGATGAACCCTTCCATACAATATCAATTCTGTGTTGTGGGACCCCCTTGTAACTGGCCGCCACTTGTGGCAATTTTGCAGTTTGAACCACCGTCCGGCACACATCTTCGAATCAACCAACCTGTGAAAATTGTGTGCTACCCACGTCCTTGTCAAATTTACTACACATTGGACGATTCCATACCTACAAATGCATCGGCTAGTCTCTATTCACGACCCATAGTCTTGACTGGGAACGCAACCGTAAAGGTTGTCTCCCTGTTTCCAGCGATGAAAATTTTGCGGGGTGAAGCAGTTTACACATTACCTCCACTCCCAGCTCCAACAAGCGCCTATTTTAGTCCGTTGCCATCGGAAGTGCTTCATGGCCCTGTGCTGGTTTTGCTCAAGGGGCTAAAAGTGAATGATGGAGCTCTTATATTTAAAAATGAGGCCCTTCGCGGGTCTCTCTACGAGGGTCCGTTTTGGCTAAATGAGAGCACAAATGTGACAGCTGTCATCAATAGAGAGCATATTGTTCGTGCGAGCTACGTCTTTACGGCGACCGGCATACCAGTGGAGATGTACCCGGTTTCAGGGAAATACATTGGAGGCGTCTCCTGTCTTGTTTACCAAGCAGATCCCAAGGCAAGCTATGCTATTTCAGTAAATAATTCCGTTTGGCAGCCTCTTACTAAATTTGCTTTTATTATGGATACTGTTGGTACCAACTTGGTGGGAGTGAGGTCGACGTCCTTGGGTGGCCTCATGAATGTTGTTTGGCGGAGATATGAGGTTGTTGAGGCGGTTCCTCCTCTGTTGTTACCTGCGCCAGATGTTGTTTACACCCAACCCATTCGTGTGACATGCAAGGATCCCATGGGGCGGGCATTGAGATTGGAGAAGGGTAGCAAGGAGGAGTTTATCTTTGCCATCCCTCTTGACGCTCCTGGTCGGTTTTCTGTCAACTGCACCTATGTGGACGATCTGCACCATGCAAGAGTCCAACACGCGGTGTACGAACTTCAGTCTACGCCTTTGCCGAGGCCGTTTTTGCTACCAACGTGTGGCCGAAGTTTCCCCAAGACGCCGCTTCTTCTTGTGCCGACAATGCTACCTCCACCTGAGGCGGGGAACAAATGGGATTTATCGCGGCTGAGGCTGAAAGCATCTTCAACCGGCGCCATACTCCAGCGACTGCTTGGCGGTCACTCATATCTCCTCAGGGCGACCCAGACGAGGGGAACAAATGTCACAGTCACACTGTTAACCAGCTCCTCCTCTCCATTAGAGGCGGACAGTCCACCTCTTATTTGTCAGTATGAAGTGCTGCCGCTCGGTTCCTCTGCTACCCCATGGTTTGTGGGTCGCCCTGAAAGCGAGGATCACCCTGGTTGGGTAAGTGTTTTGCTGAGGCAGCTGGCCAGTTGCCTCTCCTTTGGCACAGGAGAACTTATTTTTGCGGGGACGATAGGACCCTTTGTGATGATTCAGTTGCAGCGTCTACCAACGTCTCTCCGTATGGAATACTACACTCGTACCGGTGACTGCCTGCGTGGGGGTTTGTTGGCGGACCTTCGAAACGAAACCAGTGGGTTGATGCAGTTGGCGCGGCGGTGGACCGCGCAGACGACATCGTCCTCATTGGATGTCGCTACAGCTATCGGGATAACAGTTGTGGTGGAAGGTTGGGGGCTTGACTCGGGCGAATTCCATCTTGTGCGTCAAGAGTTTCCATGCAAAGATCTTGGGATACGAAACGTCGCAAGAAAAGCTCTGAATTTATTTTCTGTACAGCTGTTATTTGTTGTGGATACCCCAGGGACTTATAAGTTATGTGCATCCCTCAATAATGCCCTTTACATAGTGCCATCCGATGGGCCTTTGACAGTAAATCCAAGTCAGCTGCCGGTGCTGAATCCCACGCCATGTGGCGGCCCTTCAAAGGGTCCTATAGATGTGGCGGCACATATGACACCACAAGCTGGGCATTCATACCTTTTTTTTTCTATCGATGCGGCCTTGTGGCATCGTGTGGAGGCTGATGCAGTCGTGCACGTTGCCCCTTTGACAGCATCCATCACATCTACGACGCTGGCGGTGACGGCAGGTCAACGTTACGGAGCTTCTGCGGTATGCGTCTTCTACCTTCCCCGAAATGAGGTGCCGCAAAGGGTTACCTACAAGTGGGGTGTGACTTCCATATATGAGGGAAGGAGCAACATTGTTCTTGCTGTGAACGGCAGTTTTTCTGGTGAGAGTCGTGTGGAATTGCGTGCGTATAGATCAGAAAGGAAGGAACACAACGATTCTGCTCTAGCGATGGGGGAAAACATGCTCCAAAGTTCTGTGGCGGACTTTCCTTTTTTTACCTCACTGGGGACGTGCATGGGCCCCTTTACGGTGTCGGATCAGCTTTTGACGCTTGTGGGCGGCGCGGAGGAGTCCCCAATTTTTGTTGTGGCATCTGTTGATGGTATTTCGTTGCATGCAGAGCCGTTAACTCTGGCTTTATCGCCTCTAGCTATTTCCATGTATTCCTGCAAGAATTGTACGAGTGGCTGGTGCTTTCGTGATGAGTGCGTCTGTGTTGGCGAAACAAATCGCACCGCATACTTCTGCGTGGAAAAAACCTTGCCACCCTCAACCCCCCACTCCAATTTGTTCCGCCTCGAGTTGTTGGTATATTTGTTGGTGTTGGGTGCGATATGCTCTTTTGTGGGATTGGCTATACATCGTGGGAATAAGCGACTTGCTAGACAAGCTGAGGGTGAGAGCGTGAGGTAGTGGAGTCATGGGGACGGCTCCTTTGACACTGAAGACTGAAAAAAAGAGCAGACGAAGAGACATTGAGGTCAATATTCGCGCGTTGTATGACATTGCCGAAAAACACTGCTTTCATGGTGAGAAGAGAAGGGGAGGGACAGTAGCAGGATACAGAGGAGACACCGCCACGTGTGAGACGAGATAGAAAGATGGGGAGAGCAGCACCAAGAAGAAGAAGAAAAGAGGGAGGGGGAATATTCATTGTATTGTCGGTGAGGGATAAGTATGGGGGAAATGGATGAAATAATATTTGTTGCTTCCCCTCTCCCCCCCTCTTTTTTTTTTTGTGCCGCGCTTTTTTTTCCTTGGTTTTTTATATGGGCTCCTTCGTTGGTGGTGAGGGGAATGAGATGGCTGCAGGACGCTGCTCAAGCCACAGGTAAGCTGCTGAGGACTGACAAGGCGGCGCGATTGCTTCCCTAATGTTTAACGACTAGTCTGCGATTGCTCGATTTTGAATTTTTCAAGGGTAATGACGCGAGGATGCGCCACTGTTGGCCGACTGCCTTACACATTATGAAACAGAGTCATACTCTTCAGGGTTCGACAGCGATCGCTCGTCTTTTCGCCATAGTTTTGTCTCCAGTCGTAAATGAGATTTGTGGTGCGGGCGCCTTGGCTGCGAGTTTATCGGGCATCATCAATGCGCGTCACGCCGCCCTATGGACTACATCCAAACAAACAACAATGAGCGTAATCTCTCATGACGGAAACGCAGTGGCTCTTATGAACGTGGCACCATTTGGGTGACGTTACTATTTACATGCACTCTTGTGCTTGGACTTTGTTGAACACGCAGTGCCCTCCTCAAACCGCCCTACACTGTTTTTTTTTTTGCAGCTCCATGCTTGAGTTGTCTGCCTCTCGACTCAGCTTTTTACATATTTTATTTTGCTACTGGTGTTACAACGTGCCTGCCACCTTTCCATCTGTGCCGCTGTAGAGAGTGAGGGTGTGAGCATCGTAATTTTGCATCATCGGTGGATGCCGGAGGCTGTTGTCACTGCACGTAGGACGCGGGTGGCGTCGAGAAGATGGCGACAGTGGGTGCACCGTGTTGTGTGGGTCATTGTGTGGTGGGTGGGTGCCGTGCTGGTGGGAAAGCTTCATCAGGATTCCGTGAAGATGTATGTGGCCGTGACAGTGATGCTGGGAATATTTGCGCTGTTGAATGACACACCAAGAGAGAAGATGATGGAGGCGACGGACGCTGGTGTGGGCAATGCCCCAAAATTTAACAAGACGGAGACCGTAGTGAGTGGGACAGCTGCTGCCGTCGTCGCCAGCACTGCTTCTCTTGCCGTTGTGAATACCAGCGGCACGGTAGTTCGCCGAGGGGCCTCCGTCGTAGAGAATCAGTGTGCCATCTTCGCAGCCCTGAAGGCAATAGGGACGCCACAGGCGCTTCGAGCCATTTGGGATGATGCGTTGCTTGAAAGCATTCTTTGTTCTCCGTTGGATGCTCCGCTTTGTTGTTGCGGCAGTGGGAAGCGCTTCGCGCGTTGCTGCCGCCTGCTTCAGGCGGAGCTTCGGGGGTGCGGCCTGTAGGACTGGTGGAATAAAGTGTGCGGCGTGACGCATTTCTATGCGTCTTCTCTGCGATACGAATTTGCGCCTGTCGGCTTTATTTATTTTCGTTCTCACAGCCTTGAAAAGCAAACAACAAAAGGAGGAAGAGTAAAAAAGGGGGCCGGGGAGGCTTTTGGTGTCATGAGGGGATTGGCTGGGGGAAGGAAATGCCAGCCACTCGAAGGGGCAAGGGAAGGGGCTTGGACGATTGGGTTTGCATCACGGGAGCTTTTGCAGACATTCTACACTGCCCGCTCTCCATACTTATTCCAACTGCGTAGGTGGCAGTTTTTTTTTTCTTTTTCCATGTTGTTGCTCTTTGTGGTTTGTTTCATTTATGTGCGTATTTTTATTTTTTGCTTTGGTTTGTCTGTATTTTGGGATTCTGCGGTTTTTTGTTTTGTTTTTAAATTGCTTGTGCAGTTTTTCTGTGGTGGTGCAGCTCGGCACGTGACATGTTTCTCCGCACCCTGCGGCGGCCGCACTCACTCCACAGTCGACGGCGGTGGGAGCAGCGCATCGCTTCGGTGCTTTCAGAACACGAGGAGACTGCAGTGGATAACGTGGCGCGGCGCTTCACTCGCATCTACAAGGAGCGCCGTTACACTCCGGTAGAGGAGGCGTTTCCACTGCATGACACGGCGCGGTGGGTGGGCCTAGCGGAGGCAGCGAGTGCGTCGTCAGGGGCCACCCGCGCCGTTGCGCAGCCGCCCACACCCCACACACTTAAACTGGCCCTCTTGGGACCACAAAACTCTGGCAAGACGTCGTTGCTTAATGCGCTTTCTCTCAGCCACATTGGTGCCGTGAGCAACCGCAGTGGCAGCACGAAGGACTGGATCAAGGGCGTTGCGACGGTACACAACACCCAGTTGGTGATGCTTGATACACCAGGCGTTGTCATGGTTAATAGTGATAAGGATCGTCGACGCCACGCCGCACCATCGGCGCGCGCTTGGGATGCCTTGATGGTAACGGACCTCGTTGTCCTTACCTTACCTGCAGGTCTTGGATTTGTGGAACCTGAGCAGAAGGCGGTCGCCCGTGAGGTCGTGCACCGTGCCTCACTGCGTAAGCTGCCCGTCGTGCTAGTTATTACAATGATGGATAAGGTCCAGACGCTTAAACATCGTGAGTTGTACTTTTCGATGCGCACCGACTTTGAATCTATGTGTTTGCCGATTGCAGCGACTCATGAAACGAGTGTGAAGGGTGGTAGCGGTTTGCTAGAGCTAAAGGACTTCCTCTGCAGGTACGCCACACCAGGGGAATGGGAGTTCTTTCGCAATGAGACAACTGACATCAACCTAGTCGAACGGGTCTCGGAGTTGCTGCGGCAGTGCTTCTTTGAGGTGCTGCCGCATGAGATCCCACACAAAATGCGTCACCGCATCATAGGGTGGACCAAGAAGGACTCTGGTACTACGGAAGTTATCACTGAAGTTTTCTTTGATCGCCCGGCCTACATGTTTACCTTCTACTCCAAGCTGGAGGCAATCTGCTATAGGGCGCAACGTGTTGTGGAACGCGAGTTAAAAGGACGATATCGATTTGTGTTTCAAGCCTTTATTGCACCAGGTGGAGTCTCCTCCAGATGATGCCTGTAACAAGGAGAGAGAGAGGGAGAAGGATGAGACCGGTGCCTGGGGTTTCTTCACTCATATTTTATATGCCTTGGAGGCAAGGAGGGAGTACAGAGTGCACAAATTTTCTTTACCACCGCTTTTTAAAATTATTTGGCTTGCCGTTGCGGCTGGTCACTTTTTTTTTTTGTTGTGTGTGTGTGTGCCTGTCTCTGTCGCCCTCACTCTGCTTGCATGTGTGTTAGCGTTTTTTGTGCAGGGCACGACGCGTCATTGTAACTCCTGCCGCAAGCTGCAAGTGAAGGCTTTTTTTTTTGCATTTTTTTTAAAAAAAATATTATTATTTTGTACACCCAAGTGTGGCGCCGCCATGTCGCTCTGCACGCACCCCGCCTCGGCGCAGTACTCGGACCGTGTGAGGGGAACAATCACATGCACGCTCTGCGGCGACATTGTGCAGGACCAACAGTTTGAGCTTGATCCGGTATTTGCACGCGGAGAAAAGACAAATGCACGGGGCCTGCGCTCCCTTGGGCATCTTCGTCCCACACGGGGAGCTATTGGGGCAAGGATGCCGTCCGCACGCCCTTCCATAGAGGCCGCACGACGTGGCATGGTTTCCATTGCGCGCCAGCTTGATATCAGCGATGACATGATTGAGATGGCGGTGGCTATATACAAGTTGGCGGTGGGATTGAACGCGGTGTCTGGTGCTCGGTCTGCCGTTTTGTCTGCTGCCCTGTATGCCGTCTGTCGTCGTGAACGGACCTCGCATATGATATACGACTTTTCTGAGGTGACAGGGGAAAGTCCGTATGAAATTTTGTCCTACATGCGGCAGATTTGTGAGGCGACCCACACCGAAGTGCCCGTCATCGATCCTTCCTGCATGGTGCACCGTTTTGCAGCGCAGATGAATTTGGGTGCCATGACGGGGCCCGTGGTGGTATGTGCGTTGAAGGTACTTCGTGCCATGCGGGACGATTGGATCGCTTGTGGGAGGCGACCCATGGGTGTTTGTGTTGCAGCTCTGCTTGTCGCATGCTACATGTTTAACATCCCGCGTACTCCCGATGAGGTGTGTGGCTTTGTTCGTCTCACGGCGGGAACCATTGTGCGGCGCCTTGACGAATTCGCATCCACAACCACGGCTGGATTGCAAAGTATTGATGAGTACAGGAAGAGTGAAGTTTCACTGCCTCCTTCGTTTAGTTCCTCCAGCATGAGTCCCACCGACACTGATGTGGATGCCGACATGCGGAAGCTCTCAGCGACGTACTACGAGCTTGTGGCGGAGGCAAAGGTCTCCGCCCCTGCGACGCCGGAGCGTTGCGAGAAGTGGCGACGTTTTCTTGAGCGTCACTGTGAGATGGAAAACACCACAGCTGCGGAGGCGAACTGGGACCTGACGAAGCTGTCACCGCAGAGGCAGCTACAGATACTCGGCCTGCCCAACACGAAACCGATGGACCCGGAAAAGGTGCGGGAGAGTGTGCGGCGGGAGGAGGTGAAGATTCTGCTGAAGCAGGAACGCAGTGAGTCGGAGTGTGCGTCACAGCCCTTCAATGGGATGTCACAAATGCCTCCGCCGACGCAGTTGGAACCGCCAATGCAGCAGATGACGGCGCAATACCAAAAACTTATGAACCAAGACCCCAATGTTTTGGAGATTCGTCGGAGGTTTGATTTTGCCGAGGAGGACGACGGCCCTGCTCCAACCCCGCCTCTTCCACTCAACATGGCGGGAAGTGCGGCATCGATGCCGGAGTCCCTCGCAGAGGCGCTCTACGATCGCGAAAGACGATTTGCTCTGCCATGGGAGTTTATCGTCTTGCAAGATCCTGCCCTGGAGGACACCACAGACCTGGATTCTTACTTGGTGCTTGACAACGAGGAGCGACTGCGTCGGCAGAAGGTGGAAGAAGCCCTCTACGGGGATGCTTGGGACCTTGGCAAGGCACGCACAAAGGAGGAGATTGAGAAACTTGAGGAGTCACGCACGACACGGAAACGACGACGCGAACCCATTGAGGAGCACGCAACCGTTCAGGACGCTTTAACGCGTGCTTTGAGGGGCCGAGGCGCCGGAACTGTGAATGTTTCTCGGATTGATGAACTTGTGCCTGGTCTTGTGAGCGAGTTTGACGGTGGAACAGAGGACGATTGGCTGAATGAATGAACATTATTTGGGTCAATTGTCTACGATATCCCTTGTAATGCTATGACGTTTTTTATTGCTAGGTTCCGTTTCTTTTTATGTTGACTCATTGTTGTTTCCTTCACGATCCGTGTATCTGTCTCTGTATCTCTCTGTGTGTACTTGGTGGTGCTAAATTTAACTCCCCATTTATGTTGTTCCAGTGTGGTTGTGCCGGATTTTACGCTCAAAGGCTTTACGAAACCTGGGTCGTATGCATATGGATGCATTTTCATGCGCGACTTTGTTTTTATTTGCTACTGCACCATCTTTGGCCGTTGTTTGATTTTTTTTTTTTTTTTACCCTTGTGCTTGGGCAACTCCGTGCGAGAGGGGGGAGGAGCAGTTGAAAGGAAAAGAGGATAGTTTGTTTGGCTGTCGGCTGATATCTTTACCCAGGGTCCGGTGGCGTGCAAAAATGGAGGGAAAAAACTGTTTTCAAACCAAGTGGTCGCAGTCCCCGTTGTACAGCGGTGGAAACATCGCTTCGCTGCAGCTTCCGACTTCGCATGAGGTTTCCTCGTCTTCGTCTTCGTTGGGCGAGGAGATTCTTGTGATGACCTGCGGTGACACCGTGAATGCGCTTCGGGCAAGTACGGGGGACCTGCTGGCGTCGTATAAGCTGCCGCTGGAGGACGTCATTCTCCGTGTGGATGCTGTCTCAATTCTGCCTCCAGAGGCACCGCCGACTGACACCACCAACCACGTTGCCAGGGATGGTAAGAAGCGAAGGGTTGATAAGGTGAAGGAGGAAGAAGGACAGGAAGACAGAAATAAGACGGAGCCGAGGAAAAAGCCACTTGATCTTCCTCTTACTGCACCTGTGCCTCCCGGTAGTTACATCGCTATAGGGACTCGAACCCTGCAGGTCTACGTGCTGCGACTTGACTGTATTCATGAGAAGGAAGAGGTCAAAGAACCTTCCTCCCCGGTAACTTCTTCTACTGGTAACAACGGGGATATTTCATGTGTACTCACACCGTTGCGTAGCTGGACGGCAGCGCAGCAGGCTATTGCTGTCGTTCAGTTTACTTTCAGTGGACGCTATCTTGTTTCTGGTTCAACCGATGGCGGGGTAAAAGTGTGGGATGTCTTCAATCACCACCTCACACATAATCTACGTACTCCGTCTGCCAACCTCGTCCACTCTGTTTACGTGGATCCTGCCGAAAAATTTATTTGTGTGGGAAGCTTCGAAGGTCATGTAGCGATTTTTGACTTTGTTGGCAAAACTCTGATTACGCACGGCCATCCTCATGTCTCGGCTGTGGAAGCGTTGTGTTTAACGCCGAATAACGAACATGTGTTTTCCATTGGGCGTGATCGCAAACTTGTCATCTGCGCAGTGGCCTCGCCCACGTTAGAAGAGGTGCGTAGTTTTGTCGTGAAGGAGCACGTTTCCACCGCGGTGTTTGAATCACCCTTTCGACTCCACATTGGCGCGGTTGACGGGACACTCTCCACGTACAGGGTCAGTGTCACGGAGCCTTTGCGTCTTTCACGCCGAATGCGAGGGCATTCCGTGGGCGCGGACGGGACTCCGGATGATGAGTGGGCCATTCGAAGTTTACTGGTCGTGCAGAGTCCAAAAGGAATGCGGGAGGCAGGGCCTCTGTACGGTTTGCTCGACGACGGCAACTCTTCATCTCTGTACGCCGCTGACGCCGCCTTCAATATTTCGCTGCTTCGTCCTGATGCCGAAGGGAACGGGTACCACGCTGTATCCACGCTGGTGGGGTTCTTAGACCAGGTGCTGGACATTAAGCCCTTTCCCCCCGGATTTCCGTTTCAACGCGTCGTTGTAACAAACAGTAAAGATGTGCGGTGCTACTCGACGAGCGGGTGTCTTTCGTCCCAGACCCTTCGTGGGCACGATGACATAGTGCTGACGTGCGCCGTTTCTGCCGACGCTGGTGTCATTGCCACAGCTGGGAAGGATCGTGAGGTTCGCTTCTGGTCCACCACCACTTGGGAGACTGTTGCGATTGGTCGAGGAGGCCATGATGCCGACATCACTGCCATTTCCTTTAACACCAAGCAGTCGGAAAGCTACATGGTTCTCTTTTCGGTTGGTGTGGACGAGAACCTACGACTCTGGGATGCCGGGGTGCACATCGTTTCTGCACTGCCACAGGCTGGGACAGGTGCCAAGACGTTCATAGGGACACCCCCCGTTGTCTTCTCCCACCGCTCCGGCATTAACGCCGCGCACGAGGGTGCAATTCACGCGCTGGCAGTCGCCCCGAATGATCAGTACGTTGCAACCGCGGGTAAAGACAAGAACGTTAATCTATGGAACATTACTGGTAAAAAGCTCTTTCGGGATGCATCGTTGAAGGGCCACCGTCGTGCGGTGTCTTGTCTCGCATTCTCTCCGAGTGACCGGGTGCTGGCTTCGGCGTCCAACGATGGAAGTATTCGTCTGTGGTCGCTCATTTCCTTGACGTGTGTGAAGACACTGCAGGTGGACCGCACCCCTGTGTTGCAGGTGGTATTCTTTAATGGGGGAACACAACTTGTGACAGGAAACGCGGAGGGTGTCTTGCGTGTTTGGGCAATTGCCGAATCGGAGGTGGTCTGGTCTGGGGAAACGCACGAGGGCGGAATATGGGCCTTGAGTGTTGTGGAGGAGGCACGTGAGAATGTCTTGCTGTTATCGGGGTCTGCGGATGGTGTGCTGGTGGCCACTGAGGATTACACCTCAGAGGAGGCGGAGCGCGTGCGCCAAGAGCGTCATGACGTGATCTTGAAGGAGCAGGAGCTTGCCAACGCGCTGCACAAGGGGCAATACACGGAGGCGTTCATGCTTGCGTTGAGGCTGAATCATCCGCGCAACCTGCGGCAGGTTATCATGAAGTGGTCGGTAAAAGACCCAGAGGAGTGTGAGGCCTCGCTGTGCCGCTCGATTCTTCCATCGCTTAATGAGGAACAGTTGCTGCGACTCCTGCAGTTTACACGTGAGTGGGTCACTAACGCCCGTTACTGCGGCGTCGCAAGTCTGGTGATGCACTCTGTGTTGGTGACTCATCACTTTACGGAGTTGGCCGCGATGCCGGCGGTGCGCACCATCTTGGAGGCGCTTCTAGCGTACATGCAGCGACACAGTCAACGCCTCCACGAGGTGCTGCGGCGGACGTATTACATTGACTACGTGACTCGCTCGCTGGGACCACTGACACTCACAAGCGAGCCACCTTTTCTTCGCGCTGCGACCAACGTGAATGGATGGCCGCAGAAACGGCAACGCTCCGCTGAGGCTGTTTAGCCTCTCCTCGATTAAAGTGAAAAATGAAAAGAAACTCAACACACACACACACACACACACGTATGGATGGTTAAACAAAAAATGCCGTAACAATGAGGGGTAAGAAGAAGAAAATAAAAAAGCATACATATGCATATACGTCTGTATACCTCCTTAATACTGCTCTCACCGACGTCTATTTGTTCTTACAGGCCCCGCCACTATCATGGTCGGCCGTTTCTACTTGTTTTGCCTAACCATCTCCAGCTGCTATTTTTTTTTTTCATTTGTTCAAGGCTTTTTTTTTTTTTCGATCTGGCTTCAATTAGGAATTCCTTTTTTTTTTTTTTGTGCTTGTGCGCGCTTTGTATTTTGGCCGACCCAATTTGATTTGCATTGCTCCTTGTCTGGTGGGGGGCGGCTGTGACTCGGCGGGCTCCCTCGCGCCACAGTGAGGCGTTGAAACGTGTAAGCAAAAATAATAAGAAGAAAAAAGTGGGCGGCGGGGCGAGAAGGGTGGCTCAATGGACGCCTATCTGTCGCTGAGCAATCGGGTGGCCTCGATGGAGGATCTTTTGCTTAGGAGCGAGTCATCCATGATGATGGTGCTGAAGCGTCTGAAGGCGTTAGAGGAACACGTCTCGGCAGTCGAATCCCGCAGTCGTGGTGATCAACCCACGCGGAGTGAGGAATTGTCGTCTTTGATGAATAGGGCATTTGAAAGCCAAAGTGGCAGAATGGAGGCATTGCAGAGCGCCCTGTCGCGTCAGGCTTCATCGATACAGGTGCTGGAGGAGCGCCTGCAGGCGACGTTCAGGGCGTTGGAACAAAAGATGAATAGTGATATTGCCGGCTGCCATCAAAAGATGCAAGTGTCAGAGGGATCACTGACGTCAGCGGTACGCAACGTGGAGTCAATGTTGCAGTCACAGTCCTCTGCGATGAAGTCGTTGGAACATATCCTGCGGGGCGACATACAGTCTGTGCACCAACACGCAAGTGGAGAGGTTGCGGGAGCTTGTCGGCGTCTTGACGCTGCGGATGCCGCTTTTCACAGTTCTCTAACGGAGATGCACAAATCCATATCTGGTGATATTAAGTCGTTAGCAGAAAGCCTCGCTGCGAGAGTGGAGTCCTCAGTCCAATCAACAGCGGCTTCGCTTCTTGCACTGGATCAGAGAGTAAAGGCAGAGATGCAATCTCTTTACGATTCCTTGGCGCAAGATGTTGCGGTGGTTAAACAGAGTTTACATGCCGAGAATTTGAATACACAAGACTCTTTACGAGCTCTTTACAGTACTTTAGCCAATGATCTCAAGGAATTGTCATCTCTACAGCATTCGTCGGAGACGGCCAATCAGTCCACACACCAGCAGCTTTACCTCGAACTGGATGCGCAGCGGCAGTATATGGAAACAGTTGACTCAAACTGGCGATCAAGTGTGGCGGCCTTCAGTGATAAAGTGCAGGGGGAGTGGAAAACGCACATGTCTCAATTGGTAGCCATAGACGCCAACATCCAGCAAATGTTTTTGAAAGTGAATCTCCATGTGGAACAACTAGCAGCGCAGCTACGTCAAGCTGTGGAGAGCCTGACACATTCACTAGAGATTAAAATGAACTCCTTGCAACACCTTCGTGATGATGTTGTGGCTAACAGGAAATCGCTACGCGTGGCAGAGGATGAGCAGCACCGCTTGTCTGAGGAGGTTAGAGGGCTCTCCGCCATGGTGGAGCGTAGTGGCGTGCATCTAAGGTCGTTGATGGAATCTGCTGTTCGGGCCTCTCACAGTGACCTGCTTGAACGGATAAAACCGCTTTTGAGCTACCGTTCTGAGGTGCATAGCGCGATAGCAGTAGCCCTGAACAGGCTCTGGACGGAGGCACACAAATCCTTTACCTCCCAGCGAGACACGGACGCCCTTCAGAGTCAGGTTCAATTCCTTGACAGTGCTGTGCGCAATGAGATCTCTCTACTTATTGAGCGAGCGCGAGAGTTGGAGCACGGCGCGGATGGGAAATTGAGTCCTTCAAACGTCGCAGATAACGCTGCGCCGTTGAGCAAGGAATCGGGGGCCCTCATACCGATGCCCATTCTCGGTGAGTTGAACAATGTCTGGAATGGGCTTCGCAGCCTTCAGGGCCAACTTGGGATGCCCAGGGATGAGGTTCTCTCTGCCATCAATGACACCCGCAAGCAAATGCTTGACGTCACTTTGAAAATGGTAAAACAGCACGAAAACGAGTTCGGCGACTTGCTTTGTGAAATAAGGAAAGATGTTTCTGAAATGATGCAGCGCCCCAATAAGTTGAGGGCCGATGTTACCAGAAACAATGATGCGGGGAAAGCCAACTCATCAAAGCGAACAGTGGTGCGTGTGTTAGGCAAAAATGTTGTACATGCACCGTCGACCGAAAAGCCCCATCCGCCAGTGAGTATCAGGAAAGGGCCCAGCTCGCATTCAGCGCTGGGGGCGCGCTCTAAACCAGACGCAAACCGTACAAAAGGGATGTATTCTTCTCCACCAGTAACCAGGCAACAAAATTCAGGAGCTGTTGAGGATGCCACAAAACTCCCTCCTTTGACCCAGCCTTCGAAATCACAACAATTAGTAGCATCTGCAGCACCTCGGTCTCACACCCCGTCAATTTCTTTGGAAGAAGACGGACGAGTTGAGTAAAGATGTGTGCACTCCCGGTTAAATGGGGCGGGGCGGGGGGGAGGGTGAATGGTGAAGTTTGTGAACGATTATGCTGGATATCATTGACAACGCTGGAGGCGCAGTAGATGCTATGCTATTTTGCTAATATATCAAATGCGTCCTTTGCATTATTTATCTGGCCGCGCTTTTGTTACCACTTACGGAAAAAGAAAAAAAAAAGAGGACAAGTTTTTTTTTTTAGTTTGTTTTATTTTAATTTGAATTTTTTAATTTTTTTTTTTTTTTATTTTTTTTTTTTTC